CGCTGCAGTGGCGCGAAAGCACATGGTTAGGTTGTAGCGCGATGCACTACTGGGTCGCGCGCGCATCCAATAATGCTTCTCGCAACCACTTAAGCAGATCGGCGGGATGCAAAGGATTGACATCGTCAATCAAATGGTTAGGTAAAAGCTTGACCATTGTTAATGGTCTGGCCCGGCGCGCGCTACTTCGTAGCACTTAACATTTCGAGTAACATCCGTCAAGGTGAAAACGCGTGTTGCTGCACAGGCTATAATGTTACATATTAATTGACGATTTCAATTCATCGCAGCTCGGCAAGGCCCAGTAGCACATATTTTGCTGATCTAACGAAGTGGTTGCGAAAACAGAAAAGCATTATTAAATGATCTGAGTGGCGCGGCCCAGTAATGCAACGCGCTACAAATAGAAATCAGAGTACAGAGTTTGATAATGGTATGTATATTGATTCTAATTGCTTTTAGCTGTCAGGGACCGGTCTTGCTCGAGTGTAAAGTTTTAAAGTGATACTCGTCTAAATTTCTTCGAAGTAGTGCGCGGTTGTTTTCTCGAAATACTTTACCAGCCGTGGCTGCAGTAGCACTGAAACAAGCGCATCACGTAGTATACAGTATATTCACATAGCCATGTGTATACGCGTACTGCGGTCGCGCGCTACTGCAAGCGAGAGGGCTCTGGTTAGAGCAACGTAGTATACGAAGGCACATGATTAGGTCATAGGTGAAGCTGCGCCTATTCCTTCGAGCGCGGCACTTTATTGAGCTTCTACAATCTATATGAAGGGAGCCGAACAAGAAATTATTAAGCTAAGTACAATTATTTTGCTCGAGGAAAAGTGCTACTAAGCTGATCATAGCGGCCTAATTGAGCATTAATCGATATGCAGTTGCAGTTGCGATAAATATTATTTGTTGCGCGGCTTAGTATTGCATCGCGCTACAATAACTGTGTAATGTCTCCTCGGTCTTATCAGCTGGGTGAGAGGAAACGAGACTGACGGTTAAATGAGACATGAGAAGGGGCCATGCCTAAATCTAAAATATTTATTGAGTATCCATTCAGTACATTTACATTGTAGGGTACCGTCACATGGGGACTTCAGTCTATTATATTTATGTTCATAATCATATAGATTAGGCTTGGGGGACTTCGCCGCTTCGACGCACCGCGCAAACAGCAAAGTAGCATTTTTGCTTCGCATCGTCGATCGTTGACATCGTAAAGTAAAGTAAAGTAAAGTAAAAGTAAAGTAAAAATTATGACATAACATCATCACTAATGTCTACAAAGCATCATCACACTACATGGAAAAATAACTATTTCTCCATCAAATTTAAAGGTAATAATTTATCAAATATTAATCATGAATAAAAACAACAAAACAAAATTTAATTTATTCATACTTCCCAGTGGAGTAAAGATTTATAAAACGTTTCTTTGCTACATAAGGATGGAACCACAGATAATCATTGTGTTTTTCCTTATTACTGATATAACTGGTACCTTCAGTTCATGGTGTGAGGAGTCAAGAAGAAAAGAAAGTAACAAAAACGGTTGCTGACACAGCATTTGGACTTACACCTAGTATGACCTCCTATGAGTGCCGTTAAATTATTAACAGGAAAATTGTTTTAATTTTGGTTGATCGAATGTTTTATATCAGATGTTGATCTCTTAAAGATAGGTGTATATTTTTGCTATTATTTCTATGAAAGGGGAGGTACGGATAAAGTACCAAACCTTATTGTGTATATTTGGTTGCAACTCCGGTAAATGATGAAACATGTCTCTTATGAGAGTGATACCGTGAGTTGCTTCCTTTTTTTTTTTTTTTTTTTTTTTTTTAAACTGGTACCTTCAATTCTTGTTAAAACTTCTTTCGAAACATTCCAAAAATGAAAGTCATTTACAATACATTTAGAAATCATATTCTTTTTAAAACTTTCCAATCCAATTTTAAAACTCTAAACTGTCAAGCATTTCTTCACCTCCGAAGGGAGTTTGTTCCAATAAGGAACAACCCGCTCTGGAAGAAAAGAACACTGAAGATTCTTGACCTTTGTCACACTCTTACTACATCTATTGGATGAAACCAGATTAAGACCTGATCTGCTTGGTCTGAACAAGTCTGACCCATAATCAGTCAAGCCATTAATAACCTTAAAAGCTTCAATAAGGTCCCCACGTATTCGCCGCTCTGCCAGCGTTGTCAAATTAAGGATTTCCAGTCTACGGCTGTAAGAAAGAGTACCCACCTCATCAATCAGACGGGTAAACCGCCTCTGGACGCTCTCCAGCTCCAAAACAGTCCTCCAACTTCCATGAGCCGCAACTGGATTCAATCAAAGATTAGGCGGTATGACAGGCTGACCGCCGCCCAGTAAAGTGTAACGTAAACACTAAACATAGTACTATACTATAACACTGTCAACTGTACAAGTCAATTCCTATGAGGACAGTTTGTTGCTGTTATGTTTCCCAAGTGTCTTTTGTTTAAGTTTAGAAAAGTACAGGTCAGCATGCCTATAGAGGATGCAGGAGGCCTTGTCGAAACATCGATTGAAACATTACATATTGTATCTCAGTTTGGGGTGATGCAGCACTCTTTAGGACAGCAAGTATCTGGCTGTCTCAGAAGCACTGTGTACGGGTCCTCTTTGGTGATAAAGAGGCATACCTAAACAAGTTCCTTACATGTGCAAGAACAAGAGAGTTTGACAGCCAGGCACTTGACCATACATTCTTCCAACTAGAGCACTGTAAACCACTTTTCAAGCAACAAAACATCCTGGCTTTCAAAAATTTATATACATATCACACATTTATGGAAGTTTTTAAAATACTAAAACTAAGGTGCCCAGCATCACTGCAACAGCATTATCAGTCATCTTTTAGAAAGGAAACCACTATCATTTCACAACTCCCATCTAATGACTTCATATCAAGATCCACCAAAATTTGGAACACAATTGCACCTAAACTTAAGCTCTTTGACTACTCCTACAAGATTAGCCTTGCTAAAAGTCGCCTGAAAAAGGCACTTCTAAAGCTGCAACATGCTTATAATGATTCGGCATGGACCACAAGCGATTATGACATAATGCAGCTGTCATTTGAAAACAATCCCCTTCATCAAATTTAATCCACTGATCTCGGCCCACAGGCTCCTCCTATTAAACAAATTTGATTTTGGTAAATGTGTGCTGACTCCACCACCTATGTATTTAACCTAATATTTAGTGTATTACAGGTAGAAATTGACTTAGGTAGGTATTTTTCTCTTAGGTAGATATTAAGAATTTGGTTAATTTCTTAATTGTATGACTATTTCCATTACTGAGACGTTTTTAATATTTAATTTAGGAGGGTTTTTGAAATTTTTATAGGACTGGTTCACAGAGTGAACAGATTCCAGATTTATATATTTTTAAACTGATATTTAATAAATGATTAAAAGAACCAATATTAAAGTTGCCATAGTAAAGCCTTTAGGTCCAAAAATATACCCATTATGCTCCCGTAAAAACAACTCTAAATCAGTAGGCTGTCACTCTATTAATGCACCACACCGCTTCCTCCACTGCACTAAAAGTTATACAATAAATTCTACAATCCTAATTTTGTATCGTGATGGAGACCGGTGTCCATACAAAAATTTTACTAGGTTGCCGTTTGGTGTGAGCAATAGCGAACAGCACGAACACTCCTTTGCCCCGTCAACCTATATCTAATCTATTTAAAGAGTGACAACCATACTACACATTGAATTAGGATTCCTTTAAATATCAAATTGATTTATTGTAAACTTGTTTACTCTGTAATAAATGGCATAAAATTGAATTTTTGTTTAACTGAATTTTTGTTTAACTGATCATCTTAGGCATCTTCAGTGAGTACATTGGAAAATTTATTAAACGATGATAGTAGATTTTATAAATATATTATATATTAAGGCTGTTCCGGGAATTATCTGCTCGCTACAGTGGAATAATGATACTCATCTATATTTTAGATGTATTGTTGACATCTGTATCGATTTTTTCGACCAAAAAGGTCACCCAAACAATATATATCCGATCAAATCAAGTGTTGCTCCTGGCAGAGCACAATACACAGGTGACAATCATAGTCACAAAATTATTTGTGCCATGAGCTTAGGACTTCCTTAGGTCATTGCAACGATTGAGTGAGCCTTGTGAATTCTGTCAGATCAGATGTTGTTGTTCCCTCAGTGTACACAGTATTGTCTCTGTGTATGATTGTATTGATTCATTAGAGCAAACCATGAAAGTAGCAATAACCTGGACATCCGAGTCTGATGTCCAGGTTTTTGTTACTTTCATGGTGATGATCAGACTTGATTTTCATTAAGTTTTCAAAGCACCGGAAGCAAGCTTAGTTTCTTATAAGGATAGCGTGAGCTGAACGCTCAATGACCACCTTGGTCTACTTGCTGTGAGGTGTCTCAGCTACATGGGTAGGGGTTCCCTCTTTTTACCAATTGAAAATGTCTCTAGTGATAATGCCGATACCAAATCACGTCATAGTAGAGGCTATGGAAATTGACACCGTCGTTTTAAAAGCGTTGTTATGGTCTAATTGTTATGGTCTAATTGTTATGGTCTAATTTCTCTAAGAATGCAACAAAATTTCAGAATTTCAAACGACATCAAAATTAGGCCTATCTAGCTTAGAATTCAGTTTTATTAGTAGCACCTAAAGGAGATCGTACCTGACACTTTCGGATAACAAATAGTGCCAATTACCACCAGACCATACCAAACATTTACTTTTTGGAGCAAACATATAGCAAGTAATCAGATTACAATTTTAACTGCATTTTAATGGCACATTGTGTTTTTAAAGGCAACTACAGGGAGCTGATGTGATACTATAATTTTTAAACACTGATGTATTGTACATTAAAGTATTTTGAAGTTCGTCTATTTTTGATATTTGAGTTCTATCATATGATGCGATAAATAGTAAATACTCTAATAACTTTCAGGATTATGACGAATATCAAACAATGGGTTGAAGATGAACTGCACAATATCCTTGGATTATCTGACAGTCTCCTCACTGAATACATTGTAGACCTTGCTAAAAAGTCCAATTCTGTTAGTGATTTGGTGTATGATCTTCACAAATCAGCTGGGGTTCCTAAAACGGACAAGCTTGAAGAGTTTGCTGGAAAGTTAATAGGACAATTACCTAAGAAACAGAAAACAGCTTCAGTAAATAGCAAGCAAGTTCAATTGAAAGCTGCCCGTCAGAGTGAGTTAAAGAATAAATCATATGCATTTATACCTGAACCAGAAGTGCCTAAGACAAAAGCACCTAAGAAAAAGTCTCGGAAGCAAAGCTCTGAATCAGAAGATGAAACTATTGTTGTGAAACGGAGAGGAAAGAAAGTTAAGGAACGTAAAAAATCTGAAATATCTCCAGATGATGAATGGGAAGCTGCTGAAAATGAAAGGGTAAAAGATATGAAAGATAAGGAAGAATTTGTAGACAGGCTGAAGAAGCGCGATAAAGGAGACACTCGAAATGTAGCTGAAGATTCAAGCAAAAATCGTTATGATGATGCTAAAAAGACCTTGCAATTAAATGAAGAGGATAAAAAACGGATGATTCCTGAACTCCGTAAGCAATCTCGACGAGAGTATGCCAAGAAAAGGAAAGATATGAAGTTGGAGGAGTTGGTTGATGACATTCGTGATGAAGAGTACCTTTTCAAGGATGTAGAGATTACTGAAAGGGAAAGGAATCAATTGGATAGAAAGAAAGAGCTGCTGGATCTAGCCCAAAGATATAACAAAGCAGGAGATGTCGAAAAAGTGCAGCGATATGCTATGCCAACTGAAAGTGACACATTTGAATACTATAATGATCCTGATGAGCAGTCAGGGCAGGAGCTAGGTCCTAAGGCTGAAATAAAAAGGTGGGAACAAGAGCAGTTGAATAAAGCTGAATTGAAGTTTGGTGCAAAAGCTGGCAAGAAAGAACAGAAGGAGTACGAGTTTCTGGTTGAAGATGCTGTAGATTTCGTTCTAGCTGATACCATCAAAGGGTCCAATGAAGGTGCACCAGAAGTTTCTGCAGCTGAAGTAAAAAAGCAGACAATTAAAGAATGTCAAGAATCATTACCAATTTATTTCTACAAAGAGTCTCTGCTTGATGCAATTAGAGAGCACCAAGTACTTATTATAGAGGGTGAAACTGGATCAGGTAAGACAACTCAGATTCCTCAATATCTTTATCATGGAGGATTTTGCGATAATGACATGAAAATAGGATGTACACAGCCAAGGCGTGTTGCTGCAATGAGTGTGGCCTCTAGAGTTGCTGAGGAAATGGATGTGAAACTGGGAAATGAAGTTGGGTACTCCATCAGATTTGAAGACTGCACCTCAGACCGTACTAAGATTAGGTACATGACTGATGGTATGTTACTCAGAGACTTTCTCGGTGAACCAGATTTAGCATCATACTCTGTTATGATAATTGATGAGGCCCATGAAAGAACCTTACACACTGATGTACTTTTTGGATTGGTCAAAGATATTGCAAGGTTTAGGCCAGATTTAAAGCTCTTGATCTCCAGTGCAACTTTAGATGCTGGCAAATTTTCAGAGTTCTTTGATGATGCTCCTATATTCAGAATTCCCGGACGGAGATTTCCTGTAGAAATTTATTACACGAAAGCCCCTGAAGCTGACTATCTACAGGCAGCTGTGGTATCAGTTCTTCAGATTCATCTGACTCAACCTAGTGGGGATATTCTCGTATTTCTCTCTGGTCAGGAGGAAATCGAAACAGCACAGGAAATCCTTCAGGACAAAGTTAGAAGACTTGGTAGTAAGATCAAAGAGTTGATAATCTTACCAATTTATGCCAATTTACCTTCAGAAATGCAAGCCAAGATATTTGAGCCAACACCTCCTGGAGGGAGAAAAGTTATCTTAGGAACAAACATTGCAGAAACATCTCTCACTATAAATGGTATTGTTTATGTGATAGACCCAGGCTATTGTAAACAGAAAAGCTACAACCCTAGAACGAGCATGGAAGCACTGACAGTGGTGCCCATCTCAAAAGCCTCAGCTGATCAGCGTGCAGGTAGGGCTGGTCGTGTGTCTGCAGGTAAATGTTTCAGATTGTACACTGCTTGGTCCTACACGAATGAGCTGGAAGCAAGCCCTGTTCCTGAAATCCAGAGAACAAACTTGGGAAATGTCGTTCTCATGTTAAAAAGTTTGGGAATAAATGATTTACTAAACTTTGACTTCATGGATCCCCCTCCTGCAGAAACCTTGATTGTATCCCTTGAACAACTCTATGCACTTGGTGCTCTAAACCACAAAGGAGATTTGACCTTGACTGGCAGGAAAATGGCAGAATTCCCCCTGGACCCGATGATGGCCAAAACCTTGATAGCTTCAGAGAAGTACGGTGTTGTTGAGGAAGTCATGACTATAGCATCAATGTTAGGAGTGAACAGTGCTGTATTTTACCGACCAAAAGATCAAGCTGTTCACGCTGATAATGCGAGAACCAACTTCTTTTCTCCAGGCGGTGATCATTTGTCTCTGCTGAAGGTTTATGAGAATTGGGCAGCTACTGACTATTCAACACAGTGGTGTTTTGAGAACTTCATTCAGCACAGGTCGATGAAACGTGCTCGGGCAATCAAAGATCAGCTTCAAGGCTTGCTCGACAGAACCGAAATCGATCTGCTGTCAAATCCCATGGAACATGTCGGAATTAGGAAAGCCATAACATCGGGTTACTTTTACCACACAGCGAGGTTGACAGCTAATGGACTTTACAAAACTGTCAAACATCAACAGAGTGTCCACATTCACCCTAATTCTAGCTTGTTTGAAGAACAGCCTAAATGGGTCATATATCACGAACTGGTTCTCACTTCTAAAGAATTCATGAGACAGGTAGGAATTTAATTTTAGTGTGTTCTTTAATATTTAATAACTGCCGACATTTTTCCCCCGCTCTGATGACTTAATTCCTCATCGTCAAAATGGTTACAATAATCCTCCTTTTTTTTCAGTCGATAGAGATCGAGAGTAAGTGGTTGGTAGAGGTAGCCCCGCATTACTACAAAGAAAAGGATATCGAAGAGAAGAAAATGCCAAAACAGCGTGGGAAAGCTAAAGCTGAACTGGGTTGACAGTTTTAAAGAGACTTGAGTTTGGGGTTCAAATATGCAGCGTTTGGTATTTGGGTATTGTGTTCAGAGGTTTAGCCAAACTGCATCGAAATATAGTGTCCTCCGTGAGCGACGTTTTCATAATTCATATTTTTATTTATTATGTATTCAATTTGTTAACTTTTAAAGAATATTTTAATTCTGTTTCGAACTATAGATCGGCTAATTTTATTGATCTTTACATTTATTTTTGACCGAAAATATTTTGAATAATTTTATCACAAAGTGATGTGTTTTTATTGCTTTCCAATATGCATCTTGTATTTTGTGCTTGTAATAAATCCTGAACTAACCACGAATCTCTTGTAGCATGTTTCGGACAGGGTTATCTCGACTCTTCACTCAGAGTGGCAGAGTTGCTTGCCACAACGCTAATGCTGTCCGTGCACTCTCCTCGGAGGTGAGCGAGGGAAAGGTTATCGCCGTTATCGGTGCTGTCGTCGATGTTCAGTTCCCCAACCAGCTTCCTCCCATCCTCAATGCTCTGGAGGTCGGTGGACGGGCCGAGGGACAGAAACTTACTCTGGAAGTCGCCCAGCATCTTGGTTAGTCTTCAAACTCATTCATCATGTAGATTGTAGATGCACTAGCATTTTTAGTTTTGTCCAAAAACGGGCTCTTTACTTAATTTTTGCATAGCATTGCGTCTGCATAATAAATATACACTGTAATGTAAAAATTTGTCCCCCCCATTTTGAAATTATTAAAACTCTTAGGTGATAACACCGTGAGGACTATTGCTATGGACGGTACAGAGGGACTCGTGAGAGGCCAGCCCGTTGCTGACACTGGTGCCCCCATCATGATCCCCGTCGGACCTGAATGTCTCGGACGTATCATGAACGTTACTGGCGAGCCAATTGACGAGCGTGGTCCAATCACAACTCTCCACAAGTCTGGTATCCATCAAGAGGCCCCTGAGTTCACCGACATGAGCGTCGAACAGGAGATCCTGGTAACTGGTATCAAGGTTGTGGATCTGCTTGCCCCCTACTGTAAAGGAGGAAAGATTGGTGAGTCTTCAGATATTTTTATTTTCCGGAGAATTTTTGTAAGAAAATTATGTACTGCGTCTCTTATCATCGTAACCATGGCAATCTAGGACACCGTCAGTTATATAATGTGAATGTGCAGTTTGCACTAGAATCCTCGTTGACAAAGTAAATCATTGCAGGTCTTTTCGGTGGTGCTGGAGTAGGAAAAACTGTACTTATTATGGAACTGATCAACAACGTAGCCAAGGCTCACGGAGGTTACTCCGTGTTCTCTGGTGTAGGAGAGCGAACTCGTGAAGGTAACGATCTCTACTACGAGATGATTGAGGGAGGTGTTATCAACCTTGAGGGACAGTCCAAGGTAGCCCTTGTCTACGGACAGATGAACGAGCCCCCAGGTGCCCGTGCCCGAGTTGCTCTGACTGGACTCACTGTTGCTGAATACTTCAGAGATCAAGAGGGACAGGATGTGCTCCTTTTCATTGACAACATTTTCCGATTCACCCAGGTAGGCAGCTTTTATCAAACAGCAGCTTATAATCTAAAGGTCTTCAATCTTCATATATGATACCAAAGTACAATATTACTGTATAGCTTGTCACAATGATAATTTTAACGTAAAATTTGTGACTCTAATAAATCTAAACTCCCTCTTCTCCTCTAGGCTGGTTCCGAGGTGTCTGCTCTTCTGGGACGTATCCCATCTGCTGTCGGTTACCAACCAACCCTGGCCACTGACATGGGTAGTATGCAGGAACGTATCACCACCACCAAGAAGGGATCCATCACCTCCGTCCAGGCTATCTATGTGCCCGCTGACGATCTGACTGATCCGGCCCCTGCCACAACCTTCGCGCATCTTGACGCCACCACTGTCTTGTCTCGTGATATTGCTGCGTTGGGTATCTACCCCGCTGTCGATCCACTCGATTCTACTTCTCGTATTATGGATGCTAACATCATCGGTAATGATCACTACGACATCGCCCGACGTGTCCAGAAGATCCTTCAGGTTCGTTTGCAGTAACAGAAAACTAATCTATTATTTGAATTTGTACAGGAATTAAAAGGATTTTGAAATCAAAATAATCAGTTTCTGATTATGACCAATAGTTATTATTAGCAAGGGTATTTTCTAAACTTAAAAAAAAAACCCTCCTACAGGATTACCGATCTCTACAAGATATTATCGCTATCCTTGGTATGGATGAGTTGTCCGAAGAGGATAAGTTGACCGTATCTCGAGCTCGTAAGATCCAGAGGTTCCTTTCTCAACCCTTCCAGGTCGCTGAGATCTTCACCGGAACCCCCGGAAAATTCGTCTCCCTGGAGAACACCCTCAACGGATTCACCTCCATCTGCAACGGTAAAAACCTTGTAGTTGTCCTTATAGTTATGCCTTCATTTATTTGTGAACTCCAATACGGGTAACCCTTGATTTCGGTAGAGAATACCCCTCAAAAGTTCTCGTTTTATAAACTATTTTTGTAGTTTATATTGAACGATGTAAATTTTACATCGTTCAATATTTATCCCAATATTCATCCCTCTGGTAATTATAATTCTAACACTGAACATTAATCTCAGGTGAACTGGATCATATCCCAGAGGTCGCATTCTACATGGTCGGTGATATCGATGAGGTCGTGTCCAAGGCAGAATCTCTCTAACTTACCTCTATCTTAGGCTCATGTTTACTCGGACTTTGAGTGGACTCGAGTTTTTGTAATTTTTACTAATATATATGATTTGATAAATGATGAAGAGGTTTTGTGTTGATGTACTAGTACTACAATGTATTAAGTTATTGTACAATATTCTCGCTTACTTTTGTTAGAAACATTCAGAAATGAAAAACAATTCTTTATGGACACGTTCATAAAAAGGTGGCACTAGAGATTGATTTTTCACTGCCAAAATTGTGTGAAGCATTTTAAAATACTTGTATCTCAAGGAGTATGCTATGTAAGTTAACCAAATTTTAATATGTGGTCCAAAAAGAGTCAAATGTCACATAATTAAGTCATTCATCTCTTTATATCTGTTAATTGTGCAGATATGAGCCAGAAATCACAAAATATTCATTTCTTGCACCTCTAATGATGAATTTACATTCTGTGAGTGTGTCCTGCTTCTCAATGTGATTATTGAACCTTTTTGAGATAGTTGAGTGTTAAAAGTGCAAAGAGTCACCGGTTAAATGTGGAGTTATGATGCAATTATCACACACTGGGTTAATTCTGACTAATTATTTTAGAATGATGAATGTGATATGAATATCAACGGAATGATTGTAATAATGAACTCTATCGATCACAATTATAGCATGCTAACTAATATTTAGAGAATTTAGATGGTTAAAAGTGCCATAATGAGTCAAAAATCACATAAATGAGCATGTATTGAAATGATGCTGTATCAGGGGAATGTATCACTTTTTGGCTCTATATCAGGTTGGTATTCATAGTAAATCTGCAGTGATTTGTTGTGACACTTGTTTATGGTCATGGAGAAGTTCGTTATTAGAGTTATAGTGGAATCAATAATCACAAAACACTGATTTTAAACTGAGTAAACTAGGCAAGTACTTTTACTACTCAAGCCATGATAATTTTGTCTCCATAATGTGACAAATGAATCAATCAGTATTCAGTAACGTATAATACTTAGTTGGATTTTTGAAATGTGATTATCGATTCATTACCTTTCCTTTCAAAATGTCATTACAACTTGAACATTACATATGATTCAATTGTCACACTTTAAAGAAAATTACATATTTGGTGGCTAGATTTATGTGATTTTTGAATCATTTAAGCACCCAGATCAAAAATTATTGCTCATAGACCTTCAATATGGTATAAGCTTAGACATGGATTCAAAAATCACATAGTAAAGTTCATAGAATGAATATAAATTGTCATATCGCGCACTTAATTTAAGGCTTACTATAGTGTGACTTAATAGCGCACCTTTAACGAAAATGTGACTTTTGAATCATATTAACTGGTTTTAATACTATTTAATACTATTTTGTACCCTAAAAAATGATAGAAAGCCAATAAAAACGTTAGATGATTCAATAATCACTGCTCAAAATAGGCTCATTTCCAACGTTTAAGTTGTGATTTTTGACTCATTTTGGCACCAATAACAATTTCAGATAAGACATTCCATTCCTTACATGCATTATAGTCACCATATCAATTTTGGCTTCTTTGTGAATATTACTTTTCAGATTATCTAGTGTTGATTCATCTTGCATTTCTAATTGTGTGACTTTTGACTCATTGGCACACTAATAACGATAACTCCTGTGATATAAGCACTAGAGACTCCGTGATTTCAGGATCATGAAATTTAATCGAATTTCTAAAGGTATAGATAGATATATCAACCAACAAAGAGCAATGACTATTTTTAAAACGCATTTAAAAAAATCAATCTCTAGTGCCACCTTTTTTTGAACGTGTCCTTATGGTAATCTTAAGTCAATCAATTCATATTTATATTAGCTGTAAATATGTCTATAATTGTGGTAAAAATATCATACAAAATATCATACAAATTGGTCATCGACTACTAAATTTAAAATACTGCTTTTTCTCTTCGGACTCTACTAAATATAGCTCTGTCTTCTCTCTTTCTCTCCGCCATAGTGCACTGTTTACTGTTGCACTGTTTTACGACAACATCCATCTAATTTCGATAGCTAAATCTAATAAATTTTCTGATCTAAAATGTCCATCACACCACATTATTTCCGTCCTCTTCTATTAGCGTTGTTCCCGGTACTCTTGCTTCTATTAGCGTTGTTGCTCGGACCTGGATTCTTTCCTGCCGCCTTGCTACTTCTTGATCTGGGATTAGTTTTGTGAAAGGGTTGATGAGAGCTTCCTCAGGCTCTCATTTCGAGGTAAAAATCGAGGAATAAAAAGCTTAATTTGAAGGTTTACGTTGGAATGAATAATCCAAAACGATTCACAGTGCAATTTGAAGTTTATGAGTGCTCTCGAATGCGACCTAATTGAGTTGATGTTAGGCTAAATGCTACTATACACAGCTTTTTACACAAACATTTAGCAGATATTAAAGTAAGTACAGGGTTAAGTTCCACCACAGTTGTGCACAAAATACCTTGATCCAGACGGTGTATTTTAACATTAGAAACAACGTGTCCTTAAACTGTAATATTAATCATCTGACCTACTTTCAACCGTGGAAGTCAATAATTCTTGAAAGAAAAACTGATCAATCTAGATTTGAAACCTCACAGTGAATCTACAAAACCGTGTTCCTACCTGTCAGGTATGATCTTATTCTTAGGAGCCTCCATCCTATCTCTAGATCTGGACCTCCTGGAGAGAACCTCAACTGTTCTGCCTTTAGTCAGGTTCTTGTTGGATTCCTCTCTCTTGATACTCGCTCTTCTCTGGTCTTGTAGCTCTTTTGTTATTACCTCTGGTAGGGTTAGTCTCTCTGTTACCATTCCGTCACACTGAGGGGGATATGTGTTGGTAGGACCAAGTACTGGACTTGAGATTTTAATAGTGCTCCTCGTGGTTCAAACAATTAAATAAGAGCCATTAAATTTGACTCAGGAATTATCGCTTAAACTCGTAACTCGATATCAAATTACGTATAATATAAGATATCAGTACACTGCAGTGTCGTCGCACTCACCCAGATGTAAAAAGCAGCTGCTCCCGCACTAACGTCAGCTACAGAACCAGTATCCATACCCGCCAAGATCTCTGAACATGCCTGGGCCACATCCCACGCCATGGTATCTGGCTCATATGACTGTACTCTTCTCTTTAAACTTGCTTTACCTGTTTTACCCATCAGTACCACTAGTTGGGGCCACTGTTTTATCTCCTTAGCTGTGTGTCCCAGTATCAGGAATGTAGCTGTCATCACCTGTTGTTGTTTGGTGGTCAGGGGGCCCGGGCCACCGTTATTTGTCATGAACCAAGAACAAGAGAAGGTTGTACATACTTATTACTTAACTAAGCAGGGTGTTACGTACGAATTTGACGACTGGTGGTGGTTGAGAATAACTCTTTATTTCGGCAATAGTTTGTTGTTTTAGTTCCATAATCTGGCGTTTCAAGAATTCTAGTCTCTTGAGTCTCTTGAGCAAGTATTCAGCATCGATAAGCTCCTTGGCTAGGATTGTATCAAAACCACCTGAGAGGAGGTGGAAGTTAGCTTGGATCGCGTACTGTATACTTCACAGCACATTGAGTTTCTCTGAGTTGAGTAACCACAAACATAATGTGGTTGCAATTAATCCGATATCAGAATATCGTGCAATTTTTCTGTTCACAAAACTAATGGCAACTAAAGTAGGTGACAGAAAATATTCTTGTCTTATTTGATTGTATGTGCAAGTTTGACCATGTTCTAATTATATGGTTACATGCTAACCAAATGCCAAAATTATTTAAGAGAATTCATAACCCACAACTAGTGTACGTTTACATGAAGAATCATTCCAGTACGAAATCATTGGCAAAAAGTAGTTAAAACGAAGAAATTCATTCATCAAGATAAGTAAGAGTACTACTGAAGAGATTCAATTCATTCCTTACACGAAGAAAATCATTCCTCACGATTGAAATAAGAATACTATCAAAGAGATTTACATTTGACACGAAAAGAACTTACTCTTTATTCTGTACTTTTTCAATGACGTCTTAACTATTGATGACGGTATGAGTAAAGGTATCTTAACAAATGTACCCGAATATTTAGTTGACATTTAGCGACTTGGTTAGAAGATTGAGCTGGGGATTAAGTAAAAATACGATACCTGATTTGATCTTCTCTATAGCAATTTCAATATCATCAATAGATCTATCCAAGCAAGCGTTCTCAAGTTGTCTCTGAGCGTAGAGCAGATTTACAAGCTCCTCAGCTTCTGCTAAAGGCTCCTCAACTCCTTTAACCTGAAACACTGTTCTGTAAGATATCTGTACTATGCATCGAGTTAACTGAAGGATGTAAATTCCACGGGGCTGTTATTTCACCACATTTTCAAACTTTTATTATAATGAGAAATTCTGAAAACATGATGTCACCTTTTTCTTTTTCGCATCTCTGATCGTATCTTCAAGTTCCCTGAGATCCCTCTTTTGTATAGCTTCCTTGAGACGTTTAATCATCTTGGCCGTCCTGGCTCTCTCATCGGCCTCTCTCTTCATCCTCTGTGCCTCTTCAATAGCCTCCATATCATCAGCCATCTTAGCCGCTTCTAGTGCCGCTTCTGCATCTTTGATAGCTTGTAGGGCCTTCTCTTCCTCTTGCTTACTGTTCATAACATCTCGTTCAGCTTTGTCAGTTATCTTTGCTAGTTCTTCTTGTGCAAGACGTTCTGCCTCAACTGCCGCTAATGCTTCTGAAAATATTACCAGTTACACTATGCAGGTCTGATATGACAGATTGATCGACAATTCATACCAAAATATAGTAAACTATGCCAAGATAAGTTGTCATAAAATAGTGGTCTGTCAAGAAATTAATTAAATATTGTTCTGTAGTGTAATTAAAACTGAGGTAAATATGTATAATTACCAGCTTCTTTCTGTCGTATTTTTTCTTCCTCTTCTTCTTCAGCCTTTCTCTTTCTATCTTCTTCATCCTCCTTCTCTTTTCTTAACCTTTCCTCCTCCGCTTCTTGCTCCTGTCGTTTCCTGTCTTCTTCGGCTTCTTGCTCCTTTCTTTTCCTCTCCTCTTCTTCTCGTTGTTTTTGTAGTTCTGCATCTGGAAAAAAATTCTTTTCGCTGACATGATTTATAACACAATTTCCGCTGGACATTAAATATTATCGACAGGCTTGCCTGGGCATATAATTTGCAACTCTGATAAATTGTATCCTACCTTCTGCCTCTCGCTTTCTCCTTTCTTCTTCGTTCATTTGTCGTCTCATCTCTTCGTCTACAGCCTTTTTCATGGCCTCCTCCTGCATTCTTACTGCTTCTACAAAGTTACCGGTTAATTTATAATTGAGTGTTTTGTGATTATTATAAAGCAATGAAAGGCATTAGTTTGCCTACCAAGTTGGAATACTTGTCTTGTTTAAAAATGTTTATGGATTACCAACCTGCTTCGACCTCTAAGTCTTTCAGCCTCTGCTTTTCTGCAGCCTCCTGCGAAATTGGGTGTAAATTAGGCCAGAATCATCAATTGGATGAATTGAAATTAATACCAGATCAAAATATGCAATATCCTAAATGCAAAAAAAATGTATGCTTTTTCTGGAAATTATTCTTGCAGTTGGAGCGGAAACAGAGTCTGAACTCTGCAAAAAATGGGGCAATTATGAAATAATATCTAACGACTAGCAAAACTGCCTCCTGCGTAGCATGAAAAGCGTGCAACTCATCGGTATTCTTCTGTTCTAGAATTTTGCGCGCAATCCTAGCAACTAACTGACGACGTTGACTGTTCGGATTCGTCCAGTTAGTTTGGAATTTGTCCGGAGTCTACTGCTACAGTGCATGGCAACTGGCCGTGATGAATTTAGTGACACTAACAGCTGACCTTATGAAGTAGTTCAAGTCGAGCTCTCTCCTCTTCTCGTCTTTTTTCTTCTTCTAGCCTCCTTCGTTCCTCCTCTTCTTCCCGCCTCTTCCGTTCTTCTTCCTCCAGCTTTTTCTCTTCCTCTGATTTCTGAAGGAAGTTGAGCAAAAAATAATAACTGATATTAGTTTTGCAAAGCTACCACTGATATTTGAAGACAATCGTTAAATATGCCAAAACGTAGACAAAGATTGTGCATACGAATTATGAAGCTTATATTCATGTATGAGATTGTATTTTGGAGATATTTAACAAGCCAACATATGAACGATGGCACGGTTGGAATAAATGACCAAGTGAAGATACTGTGGAATTTGTTATTTCCAATTTCTATTCTCATCTAATTTTCGACAATGTCAAATGTGACTGAATGTTCCATTCGCTGAAATTTAACACAGTTTTAATTAGAAATCACCTTGTAACCATCTTCAATACTCTTTCTCCGCTTTATATTTTGAGATCTCTTATTTTTCAGTTCTTGCAGCTTCTTGAGGTAGCCTAGCTTCTCAACTTTCTTCTTTCGATCGTGAGACTTTGTTCTGTCAGTTATCACTGGAGAGGTAAAATGACTGAAGAGAACTTAAATCACGTAGATTACCGTCATATCCTTTAAACTCTAGTGCATATTTGGGCCTATATAGCCCCTATTCATGACAAGAGATCCATTTTAAATATGACGTATCTAATTTTAATAGAGTGTAGAGGTCAGATTTAAATTACAGCTGTTGCTTTTAATTTAACAAAATCTTAAATCTGACTTACTGGTCGTTGCACTTCTACCTAGTGGTTCTATTACTGTTCCTGAAACAGAAAATTTAGTCGATACCATGTTTCAAAAGGGTTTCATTCATGGATCGATGACGGATGAGCAAACCCTCAATCTATAATATACTATTTGCCAAGATTCACGTACAGCTGGGCTAATTTAATGAACGACTCGACATGACATCAATCGATCGAGGGCTAGTGGGTGTGCGCGCGCTCATTTACACTACACTCGCTGAGCACAGTAAAATGTTGCATCACATAAAAACCGTTCGGCGTACGCGCATTCCGTCCAAAACAAAATTATACTTTTTGTAAACAAAAACACATCGTCGACAATACATAAAAAAGCGGCATTTTAACGGAGTTTTTTATTTCTGAATTCTGTTTAAATTAGAAGAGAAACATCTCTTGGACACTGATTACGCTGATGACATGGCCATGTTACTTGTTAGATAACTCAAAAGAGGGGCTGCAGGAAACCACTGACCTTCTCTGCAAATACAGTGCCTATATGGGTCTGAAGATTAATGCTGGCAAAACACAGAGCATGGTTGTCAGTAAAAGTGCTTCGCAGAGGCCGTATTCTAAAGACGACACTATGGACATCAACGTGGAAGGTCTCACAATACAGCAGGTCAGCAGTTTCACTGACTTGGGTGCTATCATCAGTGCAAATGGAACAATTGACAAAGAACAATCAGCTCGAATTCAAAAGGCCTCTGGGGCATTCTATCAGCTTCGCAGTATATGGTACAGTCGCAACATCAAGACACCAACTAAAATCAGGATATAAAAAGCGGCTGTCCTTACTTTACTGCTTTATGGAAGTGAGGTATGGAATACCACACAGACGCAGATGAAATGATTGAGGTGTTCCATCATAGATGTCTGAGAAGAATCCTGAAAATCAAATGGTTTTATCACGCATCTAATGCTGACGCCCCTGTTGATACTTTCGTACGAGCAGCTAGGCTCCGATGGTTTGGCCATGTTGTGAGGATGCCAGAAGAAAGAATACCCAACTATCTTCTGTTAGTTAGGGCAAGAGTTAATTTTTCTGTGAACAAATTCGTAACAAAGGTTTGTCTACAAGAATGTGTTGTCCATAGTCCCAGGAACCACAAAAAAAAACCGTCCAGCTGAAACTTTTGGGCAAACATTTTTATAGTCATTTTTCTCCAGGAACCCATACGCCATATGTACTGGATTCCAAAGCATGGTAAAAGATCAAGAGGTAGACTTCGGAAAACTGGTTGTCATGTGTCCGGGAGGACGCAGCAATCTTCACAGGTGTCGATAACATCACGATAGAAGATGCAGAACACCAAGCAACAAACAGGATACATTGGAGAGGTCTAATACACCGGAGAAAGGAGTTACTATGTGGTGCAGGCCACTCCAACGACTAGGAGGAGACCTTTTCAAGTACAAGTAAGTAAGTAAGTTCAAATTTAATTATATAGAAGAAGAGATATATTCATTTTGAGAAAATTCTAAACTAGATAAAAGGACAGAATATTTGACGCTATTTAAAAATCAATCAATCAACCGAAATGATTACGATAAGTTAAATGATGCCTATTATCACCGAAAATATCCACATAAATCAAACCAATTTCAAAACTACAAAATCCTACTGATACTGAAATAATCGCAGAAGCTGAACTGAAATTTCAGCTCAGGCGTCTCAATGCAACCACAGTCTTGTTTTTAGCATCTGAAAGTGATCCTTTCAATTCTTCTTTAACCTTGCTTCCCCGGAGAGTAATAACCAGAGGATTGAAACTGCACAGAACCATGGGAAAGAAGATCAGAGTCATCAAACTAACAGTTATGCGAGGTTTTAAGTCCAGTTCGAGGAAAAGTTCCAGAGCACAGAATATGGCGTTCAATGCGCTCCCAAAATTCAGAAGCAATGTTGTAACCACCCCACTCTTTTGTTTTGAATCCTGTCGTTGTTTCCTTGCGCTGTTTATCTTGAATATCTCCCACATGACGAATCCTGACAAGATGAGACCCAGGACAGCGGTTATGAAGAACACAACGAGATGTGGTTTGAACACATCTTCATCCCAATCCTTTTTACTCATCCTCCCTCTTCTGTCTTCTTTAGTAACTGAGTCAAGTACTTCTTTAGCGCGCCTTTCCAAACCTTGGTTGAAGCAGGTTATCCTCCAATTTGTCTCATTCACAGAGATCACAAAGAGTGGGAAGACATTAAGTGTGTTATGGAAACAGTCCCCGGAGACAGCCACGCTACCAAATTCAAAGCAGACTAGCAAAAGAGCGATGAAAACCAGAGACCCTTTCAATATCCATTTCACACGCTGCGACATGCAGTAGAAGGGATAGCGCAGCGCAAGCACTTTAGCACCAGATAGATAAACAGTAGTGGTGCTAGATATCATGACTAGGGAGAGGACGGCAGCAGAGGTGAACCCATCAATGTGCTTCAGTTGGGGAGTTTTAGTGGAGCACAGCCACCAGAGGAAGTATGGACCATATAGCAGGATAGCCAGGAAGTTAGTGAGAGATAATATCTGGTAGTACACGTGACCCAGGTTTGATATCTTGTTGTGGTGGTAGTGGTACACTAGGTACGGGTTCAAAACACTGGATATCAGGAACGAGATTGAAATGAGGATACACCCGGTGATTTGAAGACCCCATAGCTCTTTATATACCATAGCTCTTTATGTCGAATTTTAGTGGTCGAGGGGGAAGTTCATCTTTACCAGAGCCTCCCTTCGATATGATAGTTAGACGATAAAAGCTGTGACTGTTACGATGAGAAAACTAGCGAGCAATAAAATTCTATAAATATAACTCTCAAGAAAGAAATAAAAGAAAGAAAACAAAACCTGCTATATTAACATTACTGCGCTAGCTAGACGAACTTGCATCGTTATAGCGCGAAATATAGCACTAAATAAAAGACAATGGTTAAAGCTATGTCGGGACTTTCATTCAAATTACTATGGCAAGGTTATAATAGAAATAGTGATTTTCAAAGGTTGTGGTGACCGGAATAAGGATGCAAGTCCAAACGATATGCACGACCAACTCTGATTGAGCTCAGTAAACGAGACATAATGACAAGTTAATGACTGTTGATGACGTATGATTAACTAGAAAGTATTTACTAAAGAAATGTTTCATAAAATATGAGATTGGGAGACAAGGATAACGCTGCATTTGGAACCACAACTGCTATCAAAAAACTGAGAAATTTACTTGCATTTAAAGTACCTTTCTTGAAACATACAACCGACCCCAAAGTAGCTCGAAGAAAACAATACCTGATATCTTAACATTAATGTGTTATCAAATAAGATCTCACATCGTGATATAACGTGAATTATGGCACGATAGATTAAAGACATCCTTAAAACACCTGTAAATAGAACTGGAAGGGAAATGCAGCAGGTGTTCGATAAAGCACATGTTAAACTGGACGAATTTGTCGGATTACCAGTAAAGTAAGTCATGTGACCGTCTTTAAATGTTAACACTAATATGATAGGGTAAATGTGAATTTCACGTGTCATAATTATAATTTTTCGTTGATATTCAGATAAAATGCCTTTGAATCATAATTACTATTGGATTACGAGCGATCTAATAGATGATCAGAATAATTCACAAGACCAACCATGGGACAACAACAAAATCTGGCAACCCTTGGTGTAGGACAATAAAGATGTGATGGAAGTAAAACCTTTCCGGTGTTATTTGACAAAGACTCGAAGATAATTGTCAATAACTACTGGCAGATCATTAATGTGTAAAGACAAACATGTATAATGTAGCCCTGTGCCAGTTATGCTGCAAACACAGTGGACGTGAATACACCTACTTCGGACAGAGGCTTACCCTATTCCAAATAATCCGACTAAATAAAATGGCCACCGTAGTAAATTTGTATAAGATGTTCAATGTAAAATGTATGAAGTTGGACACCCTGGCTTGTCTATGCATTGTATTAAGGAGGGCAAAGATACATTTAATTTAGGAATGTTTTGGGATTTTGAAGAGAACAAAACCAAATTTTATAAGACAGGGTGGATGCAAGGTTTGGGCACTTTGGGGATTAAATAGAATGGAAATTTAACGATAATTTTCAAAGTTTTAGGCTTGTTAAGTGTATTTTATACAGCTCAGTCTAACTAATCTATACTCTAGACTATCTTGCTATATATTATTTTTAAGCGAAGTAAGTTTTAGTTGAATGAAACTACGTGACTTACGATAAAACATATTTTTCAATATCGCAATGCTATATCAGCTATGTGGCCACATATTTTAATAGTAAATAAAGGTAGGTGCGATGACGTCACTAAAATCGACTACAAAGGATCTAAAATTGTACAAGGCAATATATCCCCCAAAAACCGACTCAATATCGAGCACGTGATTCACCCAGATCCCTCCCATAATTCAGCTGATCTACAATTACCTCTCCTTTTATTGCTAATTTGCCGATCAGTAGCCCTATTGTTGTGCAATATTTCTTCAGAAACCTGATCCCAGTAATACGTTCATATTCTCCGGCTTCTGTCGAATTGAACATATTGTTACACATTCCAAAAGGCAGACTTCTGTGCACCTATTCAGGCGCTGTAGGCTATAGCTCCTACTCAATAAACTTATATAACCCTGTCTGTTCATCGACTACTGATAATATATGTACATATGTATGTTTAGTTATGCAACTTCTAAAATATAAATCAAGTGTAATATCTTCTAACAGCACAGCTAATTGTCCGTATTGATATCAATGTTACAATAATATAATGCAGATTAACCACACATTTCGAGGGTGATACAGTTAATCAAGGTTTTCAATTTAGGTCCTCACTCCTCAGTCGAATAATATCGTTTTCCTCTGCACAGTATGGTTCCCAATCAAGGGTTATGGATGACATGCATTTCCAGTTTGTAAGTTTATCTTGGCAGTCTGAATAAGAGCCAGTAGGTTGCAAGTTCTTCCGTTTTTATTGATTTCAGTGTTAATGTGAAAAGTTTAGGAATCAGGTGTCCAGAAAAGGAAGATGAGAGGATTCCATACTCCATACTCCATTATACGGCATACGAGGCGTTTTGTTGAAATACCTGCTAAAATTAGGGCAAAACATGATCTGGTGACGTACGGATCTAGTCAGTGAAACCGGTGTGAGAAACCACACCGGTACGAAAACCACGTCTCCAATTAGGAGTCATAGCTATGAAAATGACAGGATTCACAGCAGAGATAAGACAAGGCCCTAAATTGTTATGAACAATGTTGCCCCACGCACCTATCTCATCCAATTCAACCAGACGCACTTCACTTCGACTCTTTTTTATGGCAACAACTGTAACCAAAATGTAGTAGGTTATGGAGATTAGCATCTTTATCAGGCTCCCAGTGTTGGTAAATAGTATTTTCTTGGTTATCTTTGTATTATTCCGTTGTGATTGCTGAGCTGCCAAGTCTTGAGAGTAGATTTCCATTTGTTTTATAGTCAGGAAGGTAGCTACAAGTCCTAGGATCTGTGTTACCAAAGAAGGGAACATAAGGACCATAGCACTCCACAAAAAAGGTACCTCACCACCTATTCTAAAGGGATTAGGATTGGTAGCTACTTGCATAGGATCAAACCACACCACCACTGCAGTATCAAGTAGAGGAATGACATTGAAACAGGTCTGTAGTCCACACAATACTAGGAGAAGTGTTAGAATCTGCTTGTGTAGTGGATCTCTCAGTGGGTATCTGATGTGATACAGTCGGGCAGAAGTCAACACAGCTGTTAGGATTGTGGGCAGATACTGACAAGGATATATTACTCCTGAATAAACTTTTTCAATGGTAGTCGCTGCTCTGGGAGGGCAAGTCAGAGGGTTTCCTTTAGGGGTCTGTCCTCCACATTCGGCGGGTTTCAGAGCATTCTGTACCGTCATTATTGGAGCTAACAAACAGAGAGTAAAGTCGAGAAGAGCTAGTGTCCGGTACACAACTCTCTGTGTCGAGTTAGGTCGTCTGTAGTTGTAGAGGAAGACAACAGGGTTCAGACATGTTGATATCAGACAACACATTATTAAATAAACTGATATTACAGTATCAGGGGTGGAGTGACCTGACTCTGCAATAAAGATTGCCATCTCCAAACTGGACTCTAAAACAAAATATGAGAATTACGTTTTGTTAGTAATGACTGATCTGAGGCTCAACTACCTCCCAGTTCTAATAATAAAGAATGAAACAGACAGTAAGTAGGCAGTAATTATAGCGGATAATTGGATAATTAGAAACTTCCAGTTCCACAGTTATCGCTAAGTGCTGACCAGTGACCTGTACGTCCTGTGATAACTGCAGCTGACATTAGAATGGCGAGGATGGAAGTGCTAAACGAAACAACAATAATGGCATCAATAAATGATTTATAAAATTGTTTTCATTTAATATATGTATATATTATATAGCCATTAGCCAAATTATGTTTCAGGATCTGTTTTTATTAGAAAACTGCGAACTTCTTCAAATTTCCGCAAGGAACTGAACCACGGGAAATTATACAATTTACTTAAAAATTGTATAACTTACATGTATATATATATAATATATAAGTAGGTACTTTTTATTCTTCCATACGTAGACTATAAAAGTATATTTTTGAACCTGCAATTTTTAGTTGGATAGGAGCTAAACCTATAATTACTAAGTTAACAAACTGAATTTACTGAACACTATTCTCCTTTATATTAAACAGACAGTAAATATAGGATCAGTAAATTTGCACGTGGACAATTATCTACGTCAGTACTCAGCAGTAACTGCTGACCTTAAAGACTGCAGGTGTTCAGTGAAACGTTAATTATAGTATCATCAAGTTTTAATGATCTATAAGATGGCCTCATGACCTGTTATTCATAGTTAAATTATTTTTACAGACTGTTTATATCAGTAAAAGTAATTAGACAGTTAGACTCACGCTCACGGGGAATGGTTGGAAGGGTTGCTATGATCTCATCCGGAGTTGGTTTATTGCACAACAGTACATCTATCTCATTAAAAGGAACTCCAGTCCCCCTAACCCGGCGGTTCTTTAACCACTGGTCGTACTTTACCAGAGAGAAGTTGTGTTCGTGGGTTGCCGTGAACAGTAACCTGAAACCATTACTCTTTTCAAATATTCCTCCATTTCGCAACTTCTTTGCTTGTACTCAGAGTAAAGTTATATGCCAACCATAAATTTACTTCCGTCCTCATTTGACTCTATACTTACTTGGCATCATTTTCGGTTATCAATCCATCTGGTCTGCACAATATCTCATACTCCCATACCAAATCCTGGGCAAAAAACCAGTTTCTATAAAGATATTCACTAAAGAATAGTATTAAAGAATGCAAATAAAGCATGGATAAAAATTTGACTATAAAAAGGAATTGAAATACGGATCTATCATTAATTGTGATTTGTATGTAATGTTTAGCATTACCAACAGGCTAGTAGCATCATGTACAATGTACATGTTGGTGACAATAACAATTGTATATTCCCAAATTCTAGACGTTCAGGACTATAGGTAATCAGAGAGGTAGATGAGCCATGAGTTTGACTGACTACAGTACAAATTTTACCTCAGCAGCTTAGACATGATGTAATGGTAATATACTTCAAAGTAATATACTACAAAGTTCATATATCGTCACTTATTGGATATAGACCCTGGTCATTAGAAACACCCCTAAAAGTTCGTTTTTCGACAAAAGATTTAAAACTTCTGTAATTTCATTTCTGTTTTAGTAAAGCATTTGATTTTTGATATATGCGTATAGAAAATCGATACGGCTTTAAAATGGGATGTTCGGCGACTTCCTAGCTCACTCACTAAACTCAGTAGGAGTGATTGAACTGCGAGGGACAATTGAGGCTAACGAATTAGCCTCATCGCTTTCAAGGAAGAACTTTCTCATGTTGCGTCCATGATATCCAAGTTGCAAGTATAATCCATAGTTATTATACTTGATCGAGATCTAAGCTTTAAATATTCGAGGTGAAAATGAGAGGGTGAAATGAGGCTATTTTCGAACCTGTTTTTGAGCAGGTTCGGTATTGTGACTATCTAATGTGTCAACAATAAATATTGATTCATCCTCTTCAAGCTCAACATTTTAGAAATCGCCGCGTCTACGTGTAGGAGGCCAAAATGAGGTTAATAAAGAATTCGACTTTCGACTGCATTTTTACTTTAATGTACGGAAACAGGTTATAGACCCACTAATAAACTTGTTATTGTAGCCTGCAGGTTATTGAGACTTTATCATGACTTATGTGAGGTTGGATTGAGGCTACCCTCTCTCTGGGAGGCGAAATTGGGGCTAACAGATACTGTTGATCTTCAGTCCCTAGATATTGTACTGTCACAACTTACAAGTTACTTGATATCCATGTTGCACACGAAATTCCTTGGGATTATACCTAATCGATCTCTAAGTGAAAATGAGGCTAACCACCTGAGAGTGTGAAATTAGACTTTCAAACAATTCGAAGGGCTAATCCGAAGAAGCAGTAGACCAAGTAATGAACAAAACCTTGATAGTATAAGTTAGCCTTATTTTACCCTCCATTAAATTTAAAAGGAAAAAGGGGTCGCCTGGGCCGGCCTTCGACCTAGAGCATCTATCTCATGTATTTTAGGTCAGAGGATACTTTGATTGACGTTACTATTCAAATATAATTGAAAAATTAGAAATGACTTGTTAGTCTCATTTTTCCCTCAATTATCGGAACAATTTCCCTCTTCTCTTCGGATTCTGAAAGAGTTCGATCTGATGAAGGAAGCTGTCATTAGAAAACAAAATATAAAATGGCTCGTTAGCCTCAATTTGCCCTCGACTAAATGCTTCAAAAATTTTATTAATCGAAACTCAATTAGTTGAACTATAGACATGTGAAATATCACATGATTGAACTGTCCATAACTGTACATAATAATTCTATAATAAGTCTATAATACAAGTGATCAGAGTTGCAGGGCATTTAGTTCCTGTTGTACATGATATCCTACAAATATCATTTTCCATGCATTATACGTAGAAATATAGTATAGAGCAACCTGTGGTATAGTAAGAAAAATGACTCAACAACAAATTAGAGGATTATAAGAGCTTGGGCTGGTCTTCAACTTACTCAGTTCCCTTTTTGTTCTCTACCGGGTGGTTGTTAATAACTTTCCTGGATTTTGGCTTCTAAATAACTGTTTCTGGGCGCTATCAGACACCTGTACCTAGTATCTGTTCATATTCAAATTCGTTCTTACCTTGTATTCGACAACTTTCTAACCTATTCCTTTATGGAATGTGGTTACAACAATAATCACGTAATTTCATAGATTACCATTTTACGTTAGGGCAGAATTTTACTAAATATTTGGATAGTAAAAGTGATGTTTTTTAAAGGAATCATTGAGGAATTTTTAAGCGATATTTTTACTTCTTTTTCTGAGAAAAAGTTGAGCAGAAGTAAACCTGAAGTTAGAATTAAGAAGTATCACCATCTAGGATAATATCTAGTTTAATATTAGATATTAATGTGATATTCACTGATATGGGTTTTATTCGTAGTTCTATCAAAATACCGTCAATACTGCGGTTTAATCTTCAAGGTGGGCCAATCTAATCTACTTTCAAAAGTCAAACCTGATTAGGGGTGGTACATATATCCTCAGGCTTTAGGCCAATTAAAGTTTAAAGGCAGCATCATGGTAAAATATGTAATATGAGATCCAAAATAAAATCACGATCCTTCCAGTTCAATATGGGCATCATATGACACATTGTATTTAAGCTGAGTCCTCTGAGTTGTTTCGTCGCATTGTATGTGTTACATACATAACATACATACATGCTACATGAAGAGGTCTCCTCCTAGTCGTTGGAGTGGCCTGCATCACACACATCTCTTCTACGTCGCGGTGTATCATGTTCCTCCATTCCACTCGTTTTAGAGCCAACTGTTTTACTGCATCTCTGCTGATGTTATCGACACCTGTAAAGTCAGCCGCATCCTCGAGTACACAGGCCATCCAGCCTTTGCGGGGTCGTCCTCTCAATCTCTTTCCATAGTTTGGTTTCCAATCCAGTAGAAAATTGGGAAACCGTGTCTCTGGCATTCTGACAACGTGTCCGTACCACCTTAGTCTAGCCGAACCGATGAAAGTTTCAATAGACTTTATTCCAGCACGCCTGAGAACTTCTTCATTGGAGACATGAAAGAACCACTTTATCTTCAAGATTCTTCTCAGGGAGGTCAGATGGAAGACCTCGAACCGTTTCATCTGCTTCTTTGTTGTGTTCCACACTTCAGCTTTATATAACAGAATAGTAATAACAGCAGCCTTGTAGATACGGATCTTGGTGGGCGTTCTTATAGTTCTACTGTTCCATATCTTCCAAAGCTGATGGATCGCACCATTAGCACGCTGGATCCTGATGTCAAGATCTCGGTCAATGGTACCATCCCCACTGATGTTGGCACCAAGATAAACAAAGTTACTGACCTGTTCAACAGGTTCTCCCTCCACTGTTAGCTTTATACTGTGTCTTTCGGTGTAAGGTCGCTGGGACGCACACTTGCTGATCGCCATGCATTGTGTCTTTTTAGCGTTGATCTTTAACCCAGCATAAGAGGTGTAATAAGCGATAAGATCAGTGGACTCCTGCAACCCTTCTTCAGAATTGTCCATCACTGCCAGATCATCAGCGTAGTCAATATCCATGATAACTTTTTCATGAGCACCCTTCAGTTCTTTTTGCAGTACAGCATTATGACTGATTGCCTTGTGAACCTCAGCCAAAAAGATACCAAAGTTCAGACAAAAATTAAATACAGGAGGGCCCTGGATATCACCCTGTCCAGTGCCTGAATTGACAGAGAAGCAATCAGACATTTCCCCATTAACCCTGACAGCACTCATGGTTCCGTTGAAAAATGCCTGAAAGATTCTAACATATTTCTCAGGGAGTCCATAGTGTCTCATGCTTGACCAGATAAACTCTCTTCTGATGGAATCAAACGCTGCCTTAAAATCAATGAGATTAACATAAAGTGGAATGTTAAATTCAATGCAGTTATGAATAATGGTGCAGATGGAATAAATCTGGTCAATACATGAGCGGTTCCGTCTGAACCCACACTGGTTTTCCCTAAGAAGACACTCCATTCCAACATCCAGCCTCTTAAGAAGAACCATTTGAAGAACCTTAGACGATGTTGCCCTAAGAGTTATACCCCTATTATTACTGCAGTATGAGGTGTCTCCATTCTTTCCAATAACCACTATAACCCCTTTAAGCCAATCATCAGGGATCACCTCCTCTTCCCATACCTTTTTAAACAGTAGCTTTAGTTGGCCAACAAGAGCACTTCCGCCATACTTAAGTTGTTCATTAGTTATCTCATCAACCCCCGCACTTTTGCAGTTCTTCAATTTCTTTCGAGCATAACTAATCTCATCTCTAGAAGGAGGTCCATCAGAACAAGAAAGGTAGCCAAAACTCGGTTGTGAGGGCACACCATCGAGGTCATCAAGGTTGGCATCCGATAGTGGAGGATTTAAGAGCTCAGTAAAGTACTCCTTCCACCTTTCCTTCTGACTGTGCGGGTCTGTAATAAAATGACCATCCTTATCCCTAACTGAAATACCCAATTTCTTCTTCTTTTTCCCTGAAATCTTCTTTATCTTATCCCAAACTTCCCTTTGCTGGCCTTTCTTAGAAGCATCCTCTAGATCAGTCGCTATTTTAGTAGCCCAGTTGTTGTCGTCAATTTTACAACTTTTCTTAACTAATTTATTTAGTTTAGAGTAGGCTGATCTATTGACGTTTGAAGTGGGATCCCTCCGTTTGAACATTCCCCGTTGCTCTATCAAGTTCTTAGAGGTTTGCGAAACGTGCTGTTCTTTAACCTTCCGGAGACGCTTTCCAAGGACTTCCATCGATACATCAGTGACTGACTGCTTGAAATTATCCCACATGTCCTCAAGGTTGACCTCATTAGCCAGACAATCAAAACGGTTCTGAAGAGCCACGTTGTACTCTTGAACCTTAGACGAGTTCCGCAAATGTTCGATAGCAGGCACATCGTGCCTTTTAGCAGTGATCTTTGCTACCGACTGCAGTTTGATTTGCAGCCGTCCACGAACAAGATAGTGATCTGAACCAATGTCCGCCCCGCGACATACCTTAACATCGAGTAGCGAGTGTTGGAATCGTCCACTAATACAAATATGATCTATTTGATTCACAGTTAACCCGTTGGGGGACCGCCATGTACCCTTGTGGATGTCTCTATGCTGGAACATAGTTCCACCAATAACAAGTTGATTAGCTGCACAGAAATCCATGAGCCTGGTCCCATTGTCGCTTGATGAACTATGGAGAGATTCTCCACCAATAACTCCCTCGAATCCATATCTGTTTGAAGTAACTTTTCCATTGAAGTCACCCAGTAGCAGTTTCAGATCATGTCGGGGTAGTTCACCAAGCGTGTCTGATAAAACGTTGTAAAAACGATCTTTCTCACCGTCATCAGCACCGTCAGTCGGAGCGTAGGCTACAACAACAGATATGTTGAGGTGTTTGCCGTGTAACCTAGCTGTTAAGACCCGCTCTGATGTAGGTACATTGTATGTGTACTCTATTATATATAGTGGATACTCTGGATAGTAGTGGATAATCAATAGTCATCGATTGTTCAATAGTTGATAAAACATATGATCTCTTTTTTGACTCAAAGACCAAACGTAACATAAGTAGGAAGATCAACACACATAACTTATAATATATTATATTATATATAATATATCTCGGATCGTCATAACTCCAGCATCAAAACTTAACTGATTTGCCGTTATAAATTATGGAAAGAAATTACCGTCATCTATAATACATACTTTAATGAAGCTCCTTTTACGAATTATCAATATTGATTATATATATGCATATGTAATGTATGTTATCTCTGTGTTTCTTTCCTCGGCATTTCGTTCTAATTGTTAACTTTTTTAGTTCGCTAGATGCGTTGTCTCACTTCATAAGAATTCGTATATATCCCTTAAACTTGTTGAAGGTTTTACAGTTAACACTTCCACCAATCAGCAATAGTTATTCAGTTAATATACACTATTCTCCTTGTTATAGAGGTTAAAGAATGTGTGGTACAAGAAAAAGCTACATAACATCCGGTCTCATCATCACAGGAATCTCAACTCAGATAACCTTCTGTATCCTAGTGTGGGGAGGCAAAATCTACAACTCTAAAAAAGGTGTCAAGGACAGTCCCGTTATTTTGGAGGTGCTAATAGCGGGTTTTGCTGGGTGCTTGCTGTGCTTCATATTGAGGGCCCTGCAGCTGCGAGCGCACAGTGGCAAAGGAAGAGTTCACCCAATTCTAGTGTCTCATCGTCTTCTTCTCTTCACACAGGTCATCACTCAGATTGCTCTCTCTGGCATCTGGTGGTAACTCTGGCTATGGCCATGGCACTTTTCCTCTACCGAAAAAAGGTACAAAAGTTGCTTGGTGAAGATGACTGGCTTGCCATTCCTCCTGCAGTCGACTTTATTGTGTTCCTCATGATGTTTGCTCATCTATTCGTGGTGGTCGTGGAAATGATGAAGAGCTGTTTAGAAAGGAGAGTTACCGAGGAGGAACTAACACGTCTAGTAGATTGAATTTGTAGTATTTATCAGAAAACCTTTGGTTTACGAGACTGCAATTCAAACTCAATTCAAAAGATAAATTATGTTTTCGACATTTTTTCTAATTTGGAATAAGTAGATATATAGTAAAACCCCGATTTACTGCAACCCGATTTACCGCAAATCCCGATTTACCACGAGTTATTCCTTTCCCCGTAAATTTGAGGACCATTTTGACCAATTTTTGACAAATTTTGGACCCCAAAAACCAAAACCCCGATTAACCGCAAATCCTGATTTATTGCAGGTTTTCGCATTCCCCCAAAGTCTGCGGTAAATTGGGGTTTTACTGTATATGACACTTCAATTTAACATGTCCATAATTTTTCTATATTTTAACTTCTTTGATTTTACTTCTTTTCCCTCAGTTGTCAATTAAAATGAAAGTCCATATTAACTTAAAGTTGGATCTGTCATGCAAATCATGTTTGTGCCATACTGATCTTACAATATCTAGATGTTTAATAAAGGAGTATAGTAGTCTGGTAATAACCTGCAGTAAAAAGTATCGCCTATCAAGCTCTGTAAGGCCCTCTTCAAAGTCTTGCTTTTCTAGTGCATCTCCCATCCCTTTACCATATACCGTCTCAATTCCTGCATGTACCTTACAGTGTTAGTTTAAAGATCTAGTACAACAGTGCATTACAAAAAGCTTCATTAAATCTAACATAAAACATTAAAATTTATGTAATGTGTCTTAGTGTCATTTTAGTAATGAAAATGTGCTCTTTACAGTACCTGTGCTAAACGTATTCCAGGTGGCCTCAGTTTTCCGTACATTTTGGCAAGAGCTTCGCATGATATCTCACCAGACATCATGTCATCATACAAATCAAACACTTCTCCAAACTGTGCCAAGAATGAACTCATGTCTTTGACGTCGTCGACTTTCACTGCATTAGCACCAGCTTACATTTCTACTATATAGGGAAAGAAATTTTAATCCATCTTTATTCAAAGCAGAATCATCAGCCAACTGTCAACTCAAAAAAGGAAAATCTGACATGACACTCAATTTACTGCACGACAACTGAAAACTTTGCACGAATACAAAATCTTATAAGTTAACAAGTCAGGGGAAATTAGTGCCATCATCTAAAAGGCGACTAAATTCCACTTAGTGTTATATGTATAACTTAGTGTTATTAAGGAGGGTGCATACTACATAGTACATATGCACCACAAATACAACAATGTCCCTCTTTTATAAGCTTGGGTGACCTCAGGCCATTGCACTGGATGATATCGTTACAACCATATGCATTTTTGAGAATATAATAATAATATTATCATATGTGAACGCTCCCTAACTTCCTTCAAACGTCATGAATCGAGATTAAACCTTTTTCAATGTATTCAGAATCAATATATGCACTTATACAAATCACTTGGAATCCTTTTGAAAGAGAAAAAAAAAACAAGCTCAAAAACGCTACTGTATTATTTCTCCATGAAAAGCTCAATTGCATGAGTAGCTCTTGTCAATGTGCTTCGAAAGTGATCTTAAACGATTTCCTGTTCAATTTTGGTCAGCGCATATCAATTTAGTGCAGAATCGAGCAAGTTAATATAGAGATATTTCATACCTATCAAATTTGATGTGCTTTCACCTATTAATAAAACAAAATTCAATAATATAACCAAAGTTAAATTTATTACCAATTATTCATCAATACATATCATAAACTCTAATATTGGAACATCGCAGCAAAATGGATGTCTCAAACTTTAATATTGTTGTAACTAATAATCTTATAGTTCACAGTTTAATTTAGTTTTAAGTATGAAATGCCACCACATCATAGTTAAGGGGGCAGGGGGGGGTCTTTATGAAATTTCTCTCGAAATTGATTTTATAGTTGTTTCTGATAGAGGGGAGTGATATCTACCAGATATTTTTGGTCCCGATCCCATGGAAAAATTTTGTTCCTAGCCGAAATTATTGCCGGTCAAAGTCAGGTTGAAAATCTTGGACCTCGTTTTTTGACGATTTTTTCAGGTCCAAGATTTTAAAAATCGAATAAAAAATTTTTAAAGGCCTGTCTCGAAATTCTAAAAAGAGCAAAAGTTTTTAAATGGTCCTTAGAACATATCCTGAAAGTTTCAAGGTGATTGCTCAAAAAATGTAGGAGGAGATAGATTTTTAGACTCGATTTTCAGGGTGCGTGATTGAAAATCGCCTGCGCAATACAATTACACATGAGCGCTGACCTTTGACCAGCAATAATTTCGGCTAGGAACAAAATTTTTCCATGGGACCAAAAGTAGCAGATAGATATCACTCCCCTCTATTAGTAACAACTATAAAATCAATTTTGAGAGAAATTTCATAAAGACCTCGACCCCCCCCCCCCCCCCTGCCCCCTTAAGGTAAAAGATTATGCTTAAATTATAAAATTGAGAAGGTAAATCTACAACTTAAGATTTAAAATTCTAGCTATACAAGAGCTATCTAAGTTTTAAACAGTTGGTGACAGAACTGGCAGGACTAATTTTATTGTGGCTGGTTAAAGGACCCAGTTGCTCGTAAGGGCTTTGCCGAACCTCTGGGGACCACAGTGTAATAAGATCAGGCCAGATCTATCTATATAGTGTAATTTATTTATTTCGGAGATAAAGTTGCATGGTATAGCTGGTGATCATATTTAGAGGTCCATAATTGCACTAATTATTCATCCAAATGCATAGTGATGTAAATAAAACATGCCATTCTGTGATATAAGGTTAAATCATAACTTTGGTTTTGCCACAGAAACTGCAGCACTAAAGATCAACAGTTTACGATACTTACTCTTTCCAGGATATAAACATTTTTTCTTTTTTAATCGATTTTTCAACTCTACTACACAACAAAAACTTGTCACCCACCTATGAAACACGGTTGCAGGATAAAAGAGCTCAATTATTTTCTTTTATTTAGAGACCGTGTAGACTATATAATAAACTAAAGCTCTTACTGCACTATACTAGTACAATTTTGTAAATCGGTGCAGTCGTATGATATTGGTTTATATTAGGGTTTGTTCACATATTATTATACGTAATTAATTTTTAACTCCCCCTCCGTATTAATCACTATTATCACTATTATTATATCTGCACGACCCTATGATTCACGATGTCAATCCTTCGCATCTCGCCGATCTGCATACGGTTGCGAGAAGCATTATTTGATGCGCGCACGACCCAGTAGTGCATCATGCTACAACACGACCCTTTAAACAATCAACAAGGACTAAGTAGAAACAAATCACCTGAACCGTTGATAGTCAGCGATCACCTAACCCATATTTTTATTGTCATACGTTGTATGACCCGCCGCGCACGAGTGCGCGGCTCCCCCTGTATCGTCGAAACTCTACAGGGGAGTGAAGCGACCGTGGGGGTCACCACGTGATACAATATTTTTAAGTATTATTATGGCGAATTTACCAAAACTGTAAACACATGTATCGATGTTGTAGCGCTCGATTCTTAGAGTAAAGATTTGTAGCACGATGCACTACTTAACTAACTGGGTCGCGCCGAGCATCTCCTCGCAACCACACGTATGCAGATCGGTGAGATGCGAATATATATTCACATAGCCATGTGTCTACGCGTACTGCGTGACGCGCTTGTTTCACAACGGAGAGGGCTCTGGTTAGAGCAAGAATATATATGCGCGCTATAAGCTATATTTCAAGGGCTCTGGTTAGAGCAACGTATGTGTTTACGCGTTCGTTGTACTTTATTAAATTTATATACGTCGTCACGCCAATACACAATTGGGTTCGTTCACAAATTACGTAATCCGGTAATCAGCTGAGGGTGGGAGTTTCCAAAAAATTAGTGTAATTTTGACACAATAGTAGTAATGTATGTGCTGATTTGGCTGCAAAAAATATCTATTCTGCACAGTTGTCACGTGGTGTAAAAGAGAGCCTCTGATTGGTCATTAAGGCAGTGTCACGTGATTTATATTGCTGCAAAAAATATCTATTCTGCACAGTTGTCACGTGATGTAAAAGAGAGCTTCTGATTGGTCATTAAGGCAGTGTCACGTGATTTATATTCGTTTTTGTGAATCTGGTTGGCTAGTTGGCGTTGTCACGTGATCACAGGTAGTCGACCACAGGTGGTCGAACTACAAATTACCATTTATGGTATAACAAGGGGACATTGCCTTCTAATATGGAATAGGGTTTCTATCGAGTCACGTGATCAAGGTTAAGACCAATCAGCGTAAAATACGAGTCACGTGATCAAAAACAGCCAATCTGCTTTACCGGTACCGGATCGACGTGTCTTTTTTGCAAAAAATATCTATTCTGCACAGTTGTCACGTGGTGTAAAAGAGAGCCTCTGATTGGTCATTAAGGCAGTGTCACGTGATTTATATTCGTTTTTGTGAATCTGGTTGGCTAGTTGGCGTTGTCACGTGATCACAGGTAGTAGACCACAGGTGATCGAACTACAGATTACCATTTATGGTATAACAAGGGGACATTGCCTTCTAATATGGAGTAGGGTTTCTATCGAGTCACGTGATCAAGGTTAAGACCAATCAGCGTAAAATATCAAAGGATGTAAACATCAGTTTTACACAAAGACAAAAATAGAATGAAACTACAGCTTCCAATTACAAATTTACATATACTGTACACAAAACTGGAAAGTGAGGCCACTCCCTCACTTTACAGATCTAAACATTTAGACTTGTTAAATAAAATATAGCGAGTTTATTGTGTGCAGCAGATGTGCTGTGTATATAATAGACAATAGTGCGACATCTTCATTTCTCCTTCAGGTATTTTGCGTTTGTGTGTTCTATTTTTCGTTTTCTCTGTAAAATGAGTTTGATCAAGAATCTTGGTACCATAAAGAAGCTTGGGTTGAATGGAAAAGGCTATACTAAATTGGTCATCAGCGTAAACTTACCTTTCTGGACTAAATATCTCCAATTTAACGTTTGGAGTAAGGATCTTTTATTTAATTCTGCAGAGAAAAAACAGTTCCAGTTAGAGGATCAAGTGGAGGTAAAATATTATTACAATGGTGACTTCCCGCAGCTTACAAGTCTAACCAAAACATGCTTGGAATACTGTCCCGTTTGTTATAGTGGTTTGGAAGAAATCGAGAGCCAGAGAATGGAGTGCGGCGGCTGCAGCATAACTCCTAACGACGAACGGAGAGAGCGAACAAATGATGTGATGACCTTGATCGCGTGCACTGAAAAACAATATCGGTATTCAGTGGGTTACAAGTTAAAACTATCATACCCAGAATGGGACTCCTCGTTCATCACTGTTGTGTTTCCTAACAAGTTGTTCCTCTACTCAAAGATACCTCATTTGGAAGTTGGGAAACTCTACAAAGTCGTGGGTTGGAAGGGTGGAAATTTATTCGATTTACTCGATATATGTGAAGTTGACAATTAATGTAACCAACCCAAATTTAGGTGGTAACATTGAGTTTTATTTTATTGAATTGAAGTTAAATATACATATGTAGCTTTATTTCTCAGTGATACGATTGTTTTATTTGTTCCTCTCAAATTCGACAAAACTGAATCGCAAACGTCGTCCCATGCATACAAAAATCACGAAGTACAATAATTTTATACCAAATGTAAACAAACAAATTTTAATTTCCGTATCGATCATTGCACATTCAACTTTGGGCAACACACACGCAAGATAAATTGAAAATGAAATTAATTTACGAGTCAGTATAAACTTAAAAAAGTGGTCCCAATGGGGAAGAGGTCAGACGGGATTCGAACCCGTATGTTCCCGCTTGGGAAAGTTACCATTGACTTACTAACCTGAAGACCCATCAGGACCACTGTAAAAAGAAAAATGTTGCTATACTTATAATCATACTTTAAGTGTTGTGTCAGATCACGTGAACAAGGTGTGGACCATACATTGCTGTTAATT